TCGTAACATAAATAGTGAAAAGTGGGTGTTGCATTATACAGTGGTATTAGGTGCCGTAATATGCTTTGCCGATCCTTTCGGGAATAAAAGGCGTGATGTTATGTTATGGGAAAAGGACAAAGGACGGGGATTGGGATGAAATATGGAATAAAAGTAGATTATGTCTGGAATATCAAATAGGCTACTTTAGCCACACGAGGACGCGGGCGAATCCGCGGTCATAAGCTATAAAATTCACAGAAAATCGGCGTGAAGCAACGCTTGCGTTGTGTTTCGTCGTGTGAGTGAGGTTACCGGAGACCCAATTACCCTCCTCTTCCTCAATCTCCCAAATCTCTGAATCCCCTACGATCCTCAAAATCCTAATCCCCAAAAGGCCGGTAACGCAATTGTAACGCCTCTGGTGTTCTAGTTGTCCATGGGCGACGCCGATTTCTATAGGCGATCCGTCTGCTCGTTTACCGGCTTATTCCATAAAAAAAATATGGAATAGAAGTAGATTATGTCTGGAATATCTAATAGGCTACTTTTATCACACGAGAACGCTGGCAGATCCGCAGTCATAAGCTACAAAATTCACAGAAAACCAACGTGTTCCAGGTGTCCATGGGGGACGTCGATTGCTTACTATCAGGTGATCCTTTACCGGCTAACGCCATAAAAAATACATATATTTTCTGCGAAGAAGTCGCAGGCGGGTACAATACAAATTGAGTAATCTTTATTTCTATACCCTTACAATTTAAATAAAACGAGTTTCGCAAATGTAAACATGGAAGAAAACAGCTTTAAACCAGTTGTCGACGAAAACTTTTATTTTGATGTTATATAGTAGTTCTGAGAAATTTCGGTTATGTGAGAGGTGTAAACAATACAATTCTTAACTAAAAATCGAGGGTTACTCACGTGAGTATACTGAGAAAAGCTCTACTGGTTTCGAACCATAGAGGGGTCCTCATGACTTTTGAGTACGACCGCGCACGCTGCTCATAAGAAAGAACCCCTCTGTGGTTCAAAACTACTGAAGGTTTTCTCAGTATATTCACGCGAGTAACCCGCGATTTTTAGGTAATTTAGTATGTCTCGCGATAGTTATTATGAAAACAAAACAATTCTTTCACAAGCTACGTTTAAAAATACCGACCTCAACCCCCCGTTTTTTGAAGTCGATTAATTATAAAATAATAATAAATAAAGTAACAAACACTTTTCTGAAAATAGCATCGAAATAGGCTCAGCCAATCACGAGACAATCGCGCACAAACATCTTATACTCTTATACTATTATATAAAGCGGAAAAGTTTGTGTTTTTGTTTGTTTGTTTGAACGCGCTAATCTCCGTAACTACAAGTCTGATTTGAATAATTCTTTTTGTGTTGGATAGCGCATTTATCGATGATGGCTATAGGCTATAAAACATCACGCTACGACCAATAGGAGCTGAGCAGAGCGTGTGTAACCGCGCGGAAGTAGCTAGTATATACATATAGCACAGGTTAAACAAAGAAGCTCCCTTTGTTGAAGTCATTTAAAAATATTTCCAAACTTTTTTTTTTCGGGGTGTAAAGTAACAAATATGTTCTTGTCTTGTTCCATATACGTATATGAAAGTCATCCTGTCTGTCCGTCCAGTAAGTCGGATTCGAGTATGACTCAACACGCTATTATGTCAGCCGCTCAGTTCTTGTTTTTTAGAGTAGGTACCCAAATATTTAGAGGTCCTTGGCGATGGTGGTAAAACCATGGCGTATTTTGTTTATTCCAAAATGGCTACTTGAGAAATATTTGTTTCTTTTTTTCTTTTGTTTTCTTTAAAAAAACGTTGCCCCACATTAGGATTTTCTCCTGTGTCGTGGGTGCGTTTACAAACATACAAGTTCACATATACAATGACACCCAGACCCGAAACAACAATTTGTGGATCACACAAAGGGTTGTACCGTGCGGGAATCGAATCCGCGACACGTTGCACGGCAGCCGGTTGCCCAGCCACCGCACCAACCGTGCAGTATTTTTATAATATTGAATTATGTGGTTAAATTAATAAGTACTTTTTAAATAAAGAACTTCAAGTAAATCACTTATCTATCAATATATTAACGGTTTTATCAGAAATGTCCTCATATGTTTTTCTCAGTGGTAGCACGGAGCTCCGTGCCTCCGAGACTCCGCGGAGTCTGGAATAGTGCCCGGTATATGGCAATAGGTTCACCCTTTATTACATGGGACTCATAACATAAATAGTGAAAAGTGGGTGTTACATTGTACAGTGGCATTAAGTGTCGTAATGTACACCTCTACATGCCCTTCAGGGATAAAAGGCGCCATGTTATGTTATGTGTTAAACTGTCAAACACCAAGCGGTCACCGGTGACCGCAACCTATTGTTCTATAATTGTCTCTATAATGACGGTACTCGACGAGTTAAACAATATATATAGGTACATTTTAGCAACAAGGCTGTAATATTTACATGTTTGGATTTCATTGAAACACGTTGTGATACGGAACCAGTTTAAATGTAATCTAACCTCATTTTTTACTACTGTCAGCAATCTTAAATTAGCACGCTGGTTTAGTTTTTGTACTCAACTTTCCTTGTAAATTATAGTGTAAATATGTTTAAGTCTTCATCATGCAATCGGCCACGTACTGTCCACTGCCTCCCACAGTCCTCCCCCGTGGACTATGTTACATGTATGCTAAGTCTGAATTAACATCATTAATTACTAAGTAGTGTCCCCCTCACTATAATTTGTTATATTAGGTAGGACACTCGTCATTAACGTTGCTGTCTACCCGTCATAATCTATAGTCAGAATTTTAATTAGATTCCAGATTTGACAATAGATTCTGTAATTTTGTAAAATAGAGGTAATGATACCACATATAATAGTGTAGTGATGAACACAAAAATCGATAAACAATCAGTGTGTGTGTTTTATAATAAATGTTACAGAAAGTGACAGGATAGCGATAGCGATGACGGCGACAATTTATAAAATAACTTATTACCATAATACATCTATCTGTTTTATTTGTCATGTTCCTTCATGGTTACATTTTTTTATTTATTTCACACACAATTATAAAAGAAAGTCTCAGATCGTTAATTAATTGTCAAAACTAAATTATCGGTTCAGAAATATTTAATTTCCTG